AATCTATAATTTACGCTGAAAACATGTACCTTTAGTTTACCGACGTTACTTTTCAATAAAATCGACAATATCTTAACGGGGACCGCAAAGTAAACTGCAACGTTAACAATGATTTAAATGTATCCGTTCGCTTCCAATAGAAGCCGGATACCTATGCGTATACTATTTTGTATCTATAAAGTACAATGGTCGGTTTAAAATTTGTCAATCAAATATTCTTAATTTATCTTCCGGCATGTTCATTTTTGGTTTGTATAAACGACTGTTAACGTCAAAATCCAACTACGTTTCTTACGTCTATACTTTCGCGGACCATCGAACTTTAGCGTATGGAGGCATCGCACTTTAGCGCATACCATTGCACTTTAGCCTGACCATCGTACTTTAGCTTCCCCATCGCACTTTAGAGTCCTACATATATATACGCCTGGTAAACGAACTTGAGGGTATATAGGAATCAACCTATCCAAACGACTGTCCGTTTAGAACTGTTGAGTATTAAAAAATTAAGATGTGAGCAGTTGCAAAGAATATAAGAAACAATATTGTGTCATATTTGAACAGAAAGGAGAGACAACTGACAGCATCATAGCTACTATCCTATGAAACACTTATTTTCTCTTTATGCCATATTTCTGGGATTACAGTAACAACATAAAAAATAAAATTACAGGCTAAAATGTTTAGACTAATTCAGATCAAGGTATAATCTGAAAAAGACAATACGGTCTTAATGGTTTTTTTGTTAAATGTGTTGTAATTTTACATGTCTTGCAAACAATTTGGAGATATAAAGGAAATATCCTGTCCAAACGACTGCCAGTTCAAAGGGTAATTATTTCATGTCTATATGTGTAAATATATGATGTTAGCAGTTTTCCTCCCCAGATTACAAGAAACAATGTTTCTTTTTGAAAAGAAAGGAGACACAATCGAAAGCATCGCATGAACCCCCTTTCCCCATTTCACTGCAACATAATTTTCTTTTTATAAAACATTGACGAGATAAGAGTATTGACATGAAAAATTGCAAACTGAAGCCAGACCAATTTAGATGAAGAAGATATAATCTAAATTAGTATAGCATAGTCGTAATATTATATGAGTTTGTATCTCTTAATTAATACGTGTCGTAGAGAAAGTTTTTAGTTCAAAAAGAATTATCCTCTCTACACGACTGTCCTTTCAAAATGTAAAATTGTTTGAGAGAAGTATCCACATAGAATGAAATATCAAAACCTTTTTTTTTTTATTACAGACTTAATTTGTCAGATGAATCCGTAATCTAATTACATGTTGATAAGTTTTAGTGTATCTCTATATAGTAAGTCGTATCTGGGGCCGAGGGTTTGGCGGGGGCGGAGGAATTGCATTTTTTTTTATAGTCCTTTCTATGTTGTGATGTAATAGTCCTTTCTACGTTGTGATATAACACTATTGTTTCGGGTAGGGTGAAGATTGGCGCCTATTAAAACGTTGAAACCTGCTGCATTTGTTTGCACCTGTCCTAAGTCAGGAACCTGATGTACAGTGGTTGTCGTTTGTTGATGTGGTTCATAAGTGTTTCTCGTTTCTCGTTTTTATATAGATTAGACCGTTGGTTTTCCTGTTTGAATGGTTTTACACTAGTAATTTTTGGGGCCCTTTATAGCTTGCTGTTCGGTGTGAGCCAAGGAGCTTGCTGTTCGGTGTGAGCCAAGGCTCCGTGTTGAAGGCCGTACTTTGACCTATAATGGTTTACTTTTACAAAGTGTGACTTGGATGGAGAGTCTCATTGGCACTCATACCACATCTTCTTATATCTATTGAAGTAAAAAAACAGCTGTAGGTCAAATTTCCGTCAAATGAGAACTTACTCTTATTTCCAGAATAAGAGTATTGAGGTAGGTTTGAAACGTAATACTATATTCAGAAGCAGCTATTTAGTCTGTCATATATTTCCGAGAGAAAATATTTTTCCTGCATACTTCGGATAAGAGTTTTTTTTTGTCAAACTAAAATTGCAAGCTACCTAAAATGAACAAGTGTCTCATAAGAGCATGAATAGCTCACATGTCAAAAATATAATTTGCATTGCTGCATTACAGTTTAGACCCATCTTTTATTGTTATCGAAAAAAATGCACGAAGAGACGACGATACTCACGAGCCAAGTGATGACAATAACCATGTTAATATGAGTTAAAAAAAAAAAAACAATAACAGTCATTCACTTATATGCATGATATATTTTTTTTATGAAATATATCTCTCAAGGATATCTTATATTACTTTTCAATAAAGACTGGATCTGTGAGTGAGTGAATCCAAAAAGGATACCCTGCCGTACAATCGTTTTTGTATATGAAAGAAAGAAGATTTAATTTTCTCAACTTTAACATGTTAGACCGGGATAATAATCCTTTCTGCACATTATCAGGTAGAGTTAAACAAATCCACGTGGACATTTTCATCAAATAACTGCCCAGACGTTTAGGGGGAAGTTGCGCTTACAATGCACATCGGTAGATTAGATTTTTTCGAGTATATAGACATCAAAACTTTGTTTGCGGAGGTACAACTATTTCTTCCCGTTTAATGATACAAAAATAAAATTAGTTTCCAACTTTAAAACTGCACGATTGTTGAAGGAAATAAGATTACATTTTCGTTTCATTTATTTATAAATATTTATAATATAGTTGATTAAATCTTTGCTGTGCATTTTTGTGTTGAAATATGCATTTTGTCTTTTATAATAGCTATACCCCTTATTGCGAACCCAATGAAAGTTTTCCACAGTGCCATCTCTATCTTGACCAGGTATTTAAACTTTTGCAAGTTCACCTGTCCTATTGAATGAATACAATAGCTATTTTTCTCTGTGTAGTTTATTCACTGGGACCTTTAAATTTCTTCTAAGAGAAATCTATCACTCATTGATTAATTTACCTGAACAAAAAATTTAACTCTGAATGATAAAAATACATGTACCAATACTAAATAAGGACACACAAAACTATATGTGATGTTGATTTATTCAATATCTAATAATTTAGTAGGCTTCTAGAATGTATTAGGGTAAGTTGTCTGCATTGGCTATTTGCATTATTTACCAATTTTTACTAAATTGTCTACAGCTTTTCATAATTTTGTTCCAATGTTTTGACATTAAATTTTGCTATGTTCCTATGGAAATTTGTGACTTTCAAATTATTTTTTTTGTGTTGGACCAAAAAAACTATGAAAGTGACAATGCTAATATTTACTCTTATTATCCATTTAGACTGTACTTCAATGTACATTTATTCTAATCAAGCTTAAAGGTTTGTGAAAAAATGTCAAAATAATCCTCTCAGACATAGATTTATAGAAATAAAAGGGATAAGTTAACATGAATAACTATCTGTGAAAATAAGTTGGTTTACAGTATTTTATTAAATGTAGACAAAAAAAAAATCAAATTTCAATAGGAACATTGATAAAACTTTTGTTTGAAATCAACTTTTTATGCTTTATACTTTTGCAAGTTCACCTGTCCTATTGAATGAATACAATAGCTATTTTTCTCTGTGTAGTTTATTCACTGGGACCTTTAAATTTCTTCTAAGAGAAATCTATCATTCATTGATTAAATTACCTGTGTAAAAAAAAATTCTTATATATATAGACAAAAATACTTTTTTTATACTCATTAATTGCGTGTGCTGATGTATTTATTCAATATCAATAATATATTTTCATTCAGTTTAATATAAACATTGATTCAATCATAAAAAGTTGATTTCTAACAAAAGTTTTATCAATGTTCCTATTGAAATTTGATTTTTTTTTGTTTAGTTATAGAATACATTTAAGAAGATCTTAATTTGAAACATCATTATTTTCAAGTTCTTATTCATGTCAAACAATTTTTTTTTTAAAAAGGAACAATGTTGAAAGTTTTGTCAGAAATCAAATTTTTATGATTGAATCAATGTTTATATTAAACTGAATGAAAATATATTATTAATATTAAATAACTACATCATCACATGCAGTTAATGAGTATAAAAACAGTATTTTTTTCTATATATAAGAAATTTTTTTTACTCAGGTAATTTAATCAATGAATGATAGATTTCTCTTAGAAGGTCCCAGAGAATAAACTACACAGAGAACAATAGGTATTGTATCTATTCAATAGGACAGGTGAACTTGCAAAAGTTTAAATACCTGGTCAAGATAGAGATGGCACTGTGGAAAACTTTCATTGGGTTCGCAATAAAAGTTGTGAATTCAATATTTACCTATTGTATTTTCTAGATAAAGAGTGAAATACGTTTCCGTTTAAGAGTAATACGTTGCGGTTGCCTCCCTTTACATTAATTTTTTTTTTAATGAATTCTCCCCTTACAAATACGGATTAATTCAATATTTGTGCATTGAATGCCAATTATCATTATGCTACTCATCCAAAAATATTTATTACTTTACTATATATCCTATCAAAAGACCTACTATTAAATATTTTGCTTAGTTGAAAAATATTTTAGAAAATTTTTATTTCCAGGTTAAGGGTAATGGATAAAGGTAAATTTTCGGGTTAAGGGTAATTCATGGATAAGTGTATGACATGTGGTCACAACTGTAGATTTCAACCTTGTTGCTTACATATATTAACGTATAATTTCTCTCAAGTTAAACTTTTTTCATTAAATCCGTCGTTTTGAGCAGTTTTTCGGTTCGCCGATTTGTTCCTGCAATTTCTGTCCGTTTTGGTTCGCCAATTCGTTCCTGTAATGTCTGTCCGTTTCGGTTCGCCTATTCGTTCCGGAAATGTCTGTCCGTTTCGTTTCTTGTCTCGCCTTTCCATTGCTATATTCCTAAAATCATCATTGTAGTATTTGCCGTTTTATTGGGTTGTTCGGTTGTTATCTTTCTGGCATATATCTCGGATCTCCTTTTTTCATATGTATGAGTACTTTATAATAAATTTTACATAGTTAAAATTCTAGCATATAAAATAAAAGTGTTAAGTACCGTTTTGCCAATATGCAGTTTCATCATAATGTAGTGAAGGAGCTGTTACACTATTCCAACTGCTGAGAGCCATACACGGAACCAGTATGACAAATAAAAGTCCAATTAAATAACACATTCTGAAAGAAGATTAAAATTATTCAAAATTCAACTAGTTTATATAATTTATATAATATAGCATAATTAAAAAAAAAATTAGTATTCGAAATCTTTGACAACAACATTCGTCAGACAACTAGCTATATTCTCGCAGGTTTTTAGACGCGTATACATTTTGAATTACTTAGAAGCGATTATATACTCATTGTCGTACACAAAAAGTTGTATGAATTTCAAGAGTTATAACATAACTTGCAGATGTAGAAATTAATATTCACGTCTGTACCATTGGAATAAAAAAGTTGACATATACATTTATAATTGAATTTCGTGTACGTCCAGTAGCAAATATTTCGTGCATATCCAGGATTCAATATGTAGGTTCTGCAAAGTGGGATTAAAGAAAGGACATTTAGAATGTCAATGGACAGATGAGTTATATTTGATAGGGCTGGAAATCTTGCCGGACCTCTTAATATTTTTTTATCATGACACTCTCCTATATATACACAAACTCGGATCGAACGGTACCGTTCTTACCGGACGTGACGGTGTTTATATACATCCCGCCCTTTTAGCATAGTTTTTACTACTTGATGGAAGAAGTTCATGGTACCACATTTCTATACTCAAATCAACCCTTTGGGTTTAATGGGCATATAAAGTACAAAGTTGAATAACATTGAGGACCCAGATTTCCGAAAGGGTTTGCCGAAGCTAAGGTTATCTATTCCTGAGGTAGATAAACACATTTTTAAAACTAAGGATAGTTGTTGTTCAGAAATTTGGCTTCTAGGCTTTTTTGTCTGGTAGTGTAAATAAAAACTTGTTTGTTTTGCTGAACAGGATGTGAAAATAGTTTTATATAGTAGTACACGTTTAGCGAGGATAAAAAAAATCTTCAAAGGGGTTTCCAAGATTACACATTTTAGGCTTTAATTTCTGACTTTCCGAATCCTCCCCCGGTCTTTTTGCTTATCATATTTTCTATTTGTCACCGGACATTAGTGATCAATTATCAATCAGTTAATGCACATACAATTATTGTACATCGCTTTCAGATAACTTGAAGTAAGTAGGTTCTTTGCTAATTTTATGTTTAAAAATTCGGTATAATTTCCGAATAAAATATGTACATGTATATTATAAATGCTGTTACATGTATATAGTAGAAACTATAGAGCCACTTTTGTATGATCTGTTTGCCTACATCGTCCTTACCATAAGTATATACCTAGTGTGAAAGTCGGTGTGTATTTAAGACAAATAAGCAACCTCAGAGTTGTAGAACGGAACAAATCCTGTTGTGTATCATTTCATTCACCTTATAAGTCATTTAGTGTGTTATGCTGTATATTCTTAAGTAAACGTTCTAGGCAGTTGTGTTATTGCATTGGATAATTCCTTCATGTGTGCCTTTAAATCACGTGACTTCGGAATCATTTCAAATAATTCTATTGGCAACATAAGTTGATTTAGCTTTTATGCACTTGTCGTTTTAGACCTTCCAGAAAAAAACAATGAAAATGACTGTTTGCGGTTTGCGCTGACAATAATCTAACATTTGATATATAACATATACAAAATCAAAAAAATGCTTTTCACACAACGGGAGCATAAAAAACACCTTTAAAAAATTGGTACATATAGTTTGAACTCGAAATCACACAAAAGTGTGACATAAACAATATAATTGTAAACAGATATTTTAAGCTAATTTAAATAAAAATTATTACCTGGTTTTGTAGACTTTTCCAGGTCACTACCTGTAGTAATAATGTGTAGTAGGAATGAATCCTTATATATATATATAGATAGAAACATTAATGCACGTTGATGTCATATAAAAATTATAAATATAACTATGTACATCATGAGAATGTAAACCAATGAAAAACAAGGCCTTATGGGAAGTTCAATCCTTGTAACATATGTGTATAGTTGTAACATGGAGAAAGGAATTCAATTTATTCAGTACATGTCAATTTAAAAGAGATACAGGAACAAGACATGAAAAATGACACCATGAGGTCAACATTTCGTCTTCATATACAACATATGTGCAAAAAATTAATTTATTTGTACGAGCTTTAGAAAAACAACGAAAAGCGAGGGTCGCCGAGTTTTTCTCCTGTTTCGTAGCTGGTACAAATAAATTTTATATTTCTGACAATTTACATATATTGTTTTTATGCTGTAATATACACCTGGCACTTTAAGGTTTTAATTTTAGTTGTTTAAATCCAAATGGGTGTTTTTGATTTTCAAAGAAATCGGTCAAGTTTAAACGCGGACCGCGACGGGGACCCCAAAATGAACTTTTACGCAAAAAGAAATAATCACATTACTGTTTGCTCAATATGAAAGTGGAGTAACAGTAGACTTTATTTGTAAAAGTACAAACAAAGCAAAACAAATATTTGTGTACCTGTTATTTGTACAATAGTTGGCTGGTAGCAGGGTAAACTAAATTAATATAGTTTACGATTGTCTATACCATGCATGTCAAGCTATTTGATAGTTATTATCAAATCCATATATGAATGAAAAAAACAAGAAAATAACAATAACTATTACAAACAAATGATTTAATTTTGGATGTAACACGTCTTCTGATTGGCTAAAAGTGTTTTGTCTATCAGCTCATAGACATAATTTTGTCATGTGACCGTACGTGACGTCTTCAACGTTTTACTCCTTAAAATGGAATTTCGAATTCAATTATAAGGAATGACTGTAATATGTTTTCTGTCTATTCGAAATAACATCAAAAATGTTGTGCACACTTTTGAAATAATATTACAGTCATTCCTTAAATAAAGACGGAACAGTAACAATTAAGTTGCGCGGTAAAATATGGCGGCTCCGTAGTATACGGATGTTCTGTTATTAAATCGTATATTCCGTATTCTAATATGACGTGCTTCTTTCGCTTTGTAAACAACAGTGTGTTAAAATACCCGATATATCTATACTTAGCGCAGACTCAGAGATGTACATATGAATGGCTGTTACTATTTACCTCCCACGTAAATCCACATGTATCGTAACCTATGTGCAAACACAATGTGGATTTCATTGTATTCAAATTGAAATTGAAAAAGAAACTACAGAACCGTCATTCTTATTCTAATGCATAACAAAAAGAATTAATGCATAAAATATTAAAAATGTATAAAATCAAAATAAAATAAAATTCAGCGAAATTTCATGAATGATCTTGGCGCATTATAATTAACGTCATGTCAAAACATGACGTCATATTTATGAAAACTCTCAAGCTGAAGATTATTCCGTTACATGTACGCTCTAAATTCGGATAATATCACATTAAAATGGAGTTTTGAGGTCGTTATCTTCGTTAACTTTATCCCTCGCTAACGCTCGAAATAAAATTCGAATATAACGGCCATGTGAAAATTTCCAACAAATCTATGACTTGCATGAGTTATTACTTAAATATAAGTAGATGAAGTATGGTTGTCGATTAGACATGCACAGCAGCTATCCGCTAGAGTTCAAATGACGTGGATGTATGCAATTATAGGGCACCGTACGACCATCGACAGTGAGTAAAACCCATACCGTGTAATCTATAAACTACAAATCTCTGATCTAAACTATAAAAGGCATCGACATGACAAAATTTGAAACAATTCAAACAAGAAAACGTATGGGTTATATATAATTAATTTATGACAAAACAATTTACGAAAAACAAATATGACAGACATGAACCAACGACAACCACTGAATTATAGGCTCCTGACTTTGACAGGCTCATAACATTTTGTTAGCGCTCAATTCTCTCCCTAATCTGTGACAGTGGTGTTACAGCACAACATAAGAACAAACTGTAAAAATCAGTTGCAAATGATTTAGCTCAATATACACAAAGCACCGATATAAGAGTTACAAGTGTTTTTTTTCTCGCAAGATCTCAAGTTTTTGAAATGAGTCGCAGATGCCTCACCAGGCAAAAACATAAAACACGATCATAATTCAGTTTAAGATCAGAGTCACTCAGGAGACAAGGTAACACATTCAAAGATGGCGACTGCAGAACTTAACTAGATTTTTTCAGTAAACCCAATCCTTCTAAAATTGTTAGGTAGTATTTCCCAGATGCTTTGATTACAATGGGAAAAAATGGAATACTGAATCATAGCATGCATGTATAATTGCATGCATATGAATAACGATTCCGGCTTTTTGAATTATTTTAAATTCTAAGAATCACAATGTGCATTTCCAATGTTCACTACTTTCTTCATAGAATTCGTAATTTAGCTGGACGCATAATTCACAACTGTTTGAACATTCCAAATATACAGGTAAGTGTATTAGATAACACGTGAATCATCTCGTTATTACAACATTGTGTATCTCGGGGGCGAAACATGCAGTTGATTACGTTCAAAATGATTAATATGATATAAAATGTTGTACAACAGTACTTTATAGTAAAGTACAACTGTCCGTAATTATTATGTTAACTAATAAGGACAATCAGGATTCTAATTCGTCAAAATTATCTCCCCATTACGACACCTATTTTTTCAAGTAAAAACGAAAGCCTTTGTAAGGATGACTTGCTTTCAATTTGAGAACCGATAAATTTACCCACATTGCATAAAAAAGAGGTGCGAAAGATACCAGAGGGACATTCAAACTCATAAATCGAAAATAAACTGACAACGCCATGGATCAAAAAGAAAAAGAGAAAACAGACAAACAATAGTACTCAAAACACAAAAATACATCAATTGAACCTTACATGACAGTTGACTTAAAAAAAAATTTAATGTATCTACCAGCTATAAAGCATCATTTAATGTACTTTTAGGCCTTTGTCAACTTGAAATTATTGTCTGATTGGTTGGCAAGGGGAATTTTCGAAAAAAAAACACTAAAAAAATTATATTCAAATATTTCAGACTTAATATTTTCAGATGTTAAAATTAATTATGAAGTTATGCATAAAAAAGATCAACAAGTAAAGTGTATCGTCAAGGGATTTTAGTAAAAAGTTAAGGGGTGTTAGTGAACGGTGTGTCCGACTTTTCTTTCTTTTAGTACATTTCATGAATAAAGTAATTAATATATGTCTCAATTTTGATTGAAAAAGTAGCGAACGGAAATTGAAAAAAAAAGTGCAAGTAAGATATACGCCAGAAATTTTAACATTTGTAGTAGCATGAAACTTTTCTTTTTTACTCTGTTGTTATGACTCATTAGAAAGGTATTTCAGCTTTTTTTGTACTGCAAATTTTGAATGTTATTATATCAACATGTAGCCTGAATATATATAAATGCTTTGTATGTTTTCAAAACAAAACAGTCAACTCAAACACGCCTCAACCCCACTTTAAAAGGGGCTTTTATGTTGACAAAATCTCTTGACAAGATATAAGAGAAATATTTTAGGAATATTTTGCCTGATAGGGTTATATTACATCGAAAAGTAAATTGTAAAACACAATTAAATATAAAGGAGATAAAACGTCAAAGATCCTGATAAATAGAATAACAGAAGATAAAAGTAAAAATTAATTGAAAAAGAACAGAATAGTTAGGTATACATTGTATGTACCACGATTTTTATTATAAGAAAGAGTTTCACTACTCCGTATAAGTAATCACATCCTAACTAGAAATAGAAAAATGTACATATTCAAAACTTCCTAGAAAAGACCGGCTTTGCAAACTATGACATGTTCTTGAAAAAGAGGAACATTTAATTTTAGAGAGAAATATGAATAATAAATCAATAAGTTAAACGGAGAGGGTAAATTTTTGTCACTTCCCAAAGACCAAAAATTATTAATTTATGTATCAACAGATCATGTGAAACCAGTCGGCTAAATTTTTTACTCAGTCATTAGAACTTAGGATAGAAGCAACTTAATTTGTTCATGTTTTATCAATATGTTTTTGTCACAAACATTCAGTTTTTTTTATTTGACTGTAAAATTAAGCCGGGTTCTTCAGGCTTTAGTGATACAACAGTATAGGGTTCTGTACCTTTTATTTCAGACGACATAAAATGTACATTTTTGTAATGTATATATAAAAAGTCACATATATCGTGCAAGTGGCACATTTCCATAATAACCAAAACATACAGTTGCTACATTTTTAGCTTTATCTTTGATAAATTTAGACATATCTTATATGAGAAACTTTTCAAATCACAGAAATGTTAAGCAAGATATTAATTACAACAGTTATTTTTTCAGACAGGTAAATGTATATGTTTTGACAGCAAGATGTCTTCCCAAAAGATGAAAAACAGAGAAATTCGACCACGAAGACTAATAACCAATAGTAAATCATGAGGTTGCGAACTAATCAGCCGTGAAAATAATGTACTAACTTAAGAACAGTGAAACAAAACTTTACCAAAACAAAAGATAAGAATCCGTCCGTCTATAGTCCATGTAATAAGTTAAATTAGTATGCTACATAATGCTTATCATTAATTACAAAATGCAATTGATAAGCTATGAATATAAAGACAACAGTAGTATACCGCTTTCTAAACTCATAAATCGATAGAGATAAAAACAAATCCGGGTTACAAACTAAAACTGAGGGAAACGCATCAAATATAAGAGGAGAACAACGACACAACAAAAACACAACATTTAAATGTAACACACACAGAAACGAACTGTAATATAACAATGGCCATTTTCCTGACTTGGTACAGGACATTTTAAGAAAAAAATGGTGGGTTGAACCTGGTTTTGTGGCATGCCAAACCTCCCGCTTTTATGGCCACGTCAAACACAACACCAAAACGACA